AAGCCAGGAGCCAGAAGCTTCTGCTGGGTCTCTCATGTGGGTAAAGGGGCCCAAGGACTTGGGCCATCTTCCACTGCTTTCCCAGACCATAGCAGAGAGCTGAATCAGAAGTGGAGCAGCCAGGTCTTGAACTGGTGCCCATATGGGACGCTGGTACTGCAGGCTCGGTTTTACCCACTCACCATAGTGCCAGCCCAAAACTGTGTAACTCTTACACAACAGCCAGGACTGACCAGATTGAAGCCAGGAGCCAGGGGCTTCTTGTGAGTCTCTCACATGGGTTGAAGAGGCCCAATCATTTGGACCATCTTCCACTGCTTTCCAAGGTGCATTAGCAGGGAACTGGATAAAAAGAGGAGCAGTCCAGACTCAAACCAGCACCCATATGGGATACCAGCACCATAGGCCGCGGCTTTACCCACTATGCTACAACACCAGCCCCAATAATTTTTTATCTTTATTTTAAAAACTTTGAAAGTCAAAAACTCTCATCTTTTTTTATTACTCCTCATCGAGCTGGAACGCTTTTCAAAGAAAACAGTTAGGACAGGTCAAATCTTTTAAAAAATATGTGCAATTCTGTTTGTTTTTAAAGACATGAGTATTTTTAAGTGCTTGAAAAATAACGGGAAAGCTTTAATATTTGTTATTTTCTAAAATTCATTCAAAGCCTTGTGCCTTTGGATGTTCTATTCAGCCAGAAAAAAACACGCAACTTACTGGAGAAATGGTCACAAGCTCATGTGTATTGAATAAATGCTGCTTCCTAGGGATGATAACCATTGAAAATCCACCTTTACCTTTAGATTGAGAAGTAAGCAAAGGGTCATTTTTCTTCTGGACTTTTAGTGGGAAGAAGCAGGAGAAGTATAACTTAAAATGAGCAGGAGGGATGTACGAAGAGATCCACTGATTCATACACAGATTACCAAATGGATCTCTTCAGCCAGGATAAGCATGGGCTGAAAAATGTCAAAATCAGGATTATTTTTTATTTATCAGTACCAATTTTCCACTGAATGGACAAGGAACCATAGCAAGATCATACTAGTATATAGAAAGATAAATAGATCAGTGATCCCTAACTTTAGTATTTGATAACAGATCAGGAAAAAATATTTATTTATTTTTTAAACAAGCGGAGTGGACAGTGAGAGAGAGAGAGAGAGAGAGAGAGAGAGAAAGGTCTTCCTTTTGATGTTGGTTCACCCTCCAACAGCTGCCGCGGCTGGCACGCTGCAGCCGGTGCACCGCGCTGATCCGATGGCAGGAGCCAGGTGCTTCTCCTGGTCTCCCATGGGGTGCAGGGCCCAAGCACCTGGGCCATCCTCCACTGCACTCCCGGGCCACAGCAGAGAGCTGGCCTGGAAGAGGGGCAACCAGGACAGAACCCGGCAGCCCGACCGGGACTAGAACCTGGTGTGCCAGCGCCACAAGGCGGAGGATTAGCCTAGTGAGCCGCGGCGCTGGCCGAAAAAATATTTTTTAAGATGGGGCTAAGATGAAATTGACTTTTTAAATTTTTTTTTAAAGTAAAGGCATTAGGCCGGCGCCGCGGCTCACTAGGCTAATCCTCCACCTTGCAGCTCGAGCACATTGGGTTCTAGTCCCGGTCGGGGCGCCGAGATTCTGTCCTGGTTGCCCCTCTTCCAGGCCAGCTCTCTGCTGTGGCCCTGGAGTGCAGTGGAGGATGGTAAAAGTGGGTGGGCCCTGAACCCCATGGGAGACCAGGAGAAGTACCAGGCTCCTGCCATCAGATCAGCGTGGTGCGCCGGCCGCAGCGCGCTGGCCGCGGCGGCCGTTGGAGGGTGAACCAACGGCAAAAGGAAGACCTTTCTCTCTGTCTCTCTCTCTCACTGTCCACTCTGCCTGTCAAAAAAAAAAAAAAAAAGTAAAGGCATTAGAAAAAGGCACCATCTCTCATTGCCATTGTTTGAAAGGTATATTTTTAACACAAAATATATTAGGGATGATATAGCTACAAATAAAGCCTCAAATACTTGGTTTTTACCAAAACTCTCAACATTTGCCTTATTTCTCTCATTTTGCTATGGGTCAGGGATACTTCATCACAAACTAACATCAGTGCCAGGAACCAATGACATAGAGAACTCATCCTTGTCCAAACCATATTTATTTATTCTCCAGACATTGGCCCCGAGCACCAGATAACCTCATTTGCTCTGTAATTGCCTAATTTTTCCCATATCACTTCCTTCACATTTGAGATTCCCTTCATTATGTACTCCAGACTTGTCACTAAAATGACGTAATTCTCATCCCATCAGACACTCCTACTCAAAGGAAAAATAAAGAATAGTAAACATTAATGTAGACAGAATTGTCAAATAATCATTTGCTAATTACCTTGAAACTTAATAGAAATCACTCATAACATTTAAACACAAGTACACTGATCCCTAAACTCTCGATGCACAGACAATGATGAATTACCAACGAACTCAATTGCATCACTGTACAGGGCAGTGGAAATTGAAGAAAAGAAAAGCCTAGGGAGAAATAAGCAAAATAAATCCCCAGGAGATGCAACAACCCACCTAAACATAAGAAAGACAGAGAAAACATTCGATGCCAATTTCTCCAAAACAAGCCCATCCTCCTAAAGAAGGAGGAAAATCATTACTGCTTTTCAGTGGGTAAGAGGTTGGTAAATTTGCAATGTGTAACATATAATGAAGCTGTATTTCCATTACCACTGATGCATTGTATCCCATTTTAATATCCATTATCCTGTACCTGAAAGCTCCTTGAAATTCCTATTTGGTGGATTTCATAGCTAAGAAAAGAGTCAAGTCCGAGGTGGAGTTTAGATTTCAAAGGCTAGAAAGTAACAAAGACAATAGAAATATTCCGGAAGGTATTTACTTGGATAACAACAATGGATATGTGCACCTGAATATATGACCCTCGAAATTGCTTTCTAGTTGGCTCACAGTATTTTGAAATTAAGTAGACAGTGCCTTCTGGCATGAAACCTGATACAGATAGAACCTCAATATCAAATCCCAGAAGTAACATGAAAACCTGAGAAATATCCATTTTGACTTTAATAAAGAGCAGTTTGTAAGGAATCACATTCCTTGGGCAATAAGCATTTATCAACTCCTGCTGTGTGGAGAGTTAGCAAGACAGTGCTTCTCTGAAAGTACTGTGCTTACTTCAGCAGGGCAACATCTGTGTTACTCTTTTCACACAGGTCTTTGCAGTCTTGGTTTTAAAATAGCCAGAACTAAACTGAAAAGTGCGTCTTATTACCTTCATAAACTGTCATTATCAAGGGCTCTAAAAGCTAAAATACTATGATGCAAGTTTGTTTTTTCAACTTTTATTTAATAAATATAAATTTCCAAAGTACAACTTTTGGATTATAGCAGCTTTTTCCCCCCATAACCTCCCTCCCACCTGCAGCCATCCCATCTTCCACTCCCTCTCCCATCCCATTCTTCATCAAGGTTCATTTTCAATTAGCTTTATATACAGAAGACCAACTCTATAATATAGAGATTTCAACAGTTTGCACCCACACAGACACACAAAGTATAAAGTACTGTTTGAGTAGTAGTTTTACCGTTAATTTGCATAGTACTACACATTAAGGTCAGAGATCCTACATGGGGAGCAAGTGCACAGTGACTCCTGTTGTTGATTTAACAATTGACACTCTTTTTCATGACATCAGTAATCACCCGAGGCTCTTGTCATGAGCTGCCAAGGCTATGGAAGCCTCTGAGTTCACAAACTCCGATCTTATTTAGACAAGGCCGGAGTCAAAGTGAAAGTTCTCTCCTCCCTTCAGAGAAAGGTACCTCCTTCTTTGATGGCCCCTTCTTTCCACTGGATCTCACTCACAGAGATCTTTCATTTAGGTCGTTTGTTTTTTTTTTTGTTTGTTTGTTTGTTTGTTTTTGCCACAGTGCCTTGGCTCTCCATGCCTGTGACACTCTCATGGGCTTTTTAGCCAGATCCAAATGCCTTAAGGGCTGATTCTGAGGCCAGAGTGCTGTTTAGGACATCTGCCATTCTATGAGTCTGCTGTGTATCCTGCTTTCCATGTAGGATCATTCTCTCCTTTTTAATTCTATCAATTGTTATTTGCAGACACTGGTCTTATTTATGTAATCCCTTTGACACTAAATTCTATCTTTTTTATCAATTATGAACTTAAACTGATCACTTTAACAAGTAAGATGGCATTGGTACATGCCACCTTGATGGAATTGAATTGGAATCACCCTGGCACGTTTCTAGCTCTACCATTAGGGCCAAGTCCAAGTGATCATGTGCTGAACTGTACATCTCCTCCCTCTCTTATTCCCACTCTTATATTTAACAGGGATCACTTTTCAGTTAATTTTAAATGCCTATTGTGTGTTAATTAAAGAGTTCAACCAATGGTATTAAATAGAACAAAAAAATACTAAAAGGAATAAAATAGTAAGTTGTTCCTTGACAGCGAAGACAAGGGCTGATCTAGTCATTGTTTCTCATAGTGTCCATTTCACTTCTACAGATTTCCTTTTAGGTGCTCAGTTAGTTGTCACCAATCAGGGAGAACATATGATATTTGTCCCTTTGGGACTGGCTTATTTCACTCAGCATGATGTTTTCCAGATTCCTCCATTTTGTTGCAAATGACCGGATTTCATTTTTTTTTACTGCTGTATAGTATTCTATAGAGTACATGTCCCTTAATTTCTTTATCCAGTCTTCTGTTGATGGGCATTTGGGTTGATTCCAGGTCTTAGCTATTGTGAATTGAGCTGCAATAAACATTAATGTCCAGACTGCTTTTTTGTTTGCCAATTTAAATTCCTTTGGGTAAATTCCAAGGAGTGGAATGGCTGGGTTGTATGGTAGGGTTATCTTCAGGTTACTGAGGAATCTCTAAACTGTCTTCCATAGTAGCTTTACCAGTTTTCATTCCCACCAACAGTGGATTAGTGTCCCTTTTTCCCCCTTGCCAGCACCTGTTCCAAGAGTGGGATGGCTAGGTTGTATGGTAGGATTATACTCAGGTTTCTGAGGAATCTCTAAACTGTCTTCCATAGTAGCTTTACCAGTTTTCATTCCCACCAACAGTGGATTAGTGTCCCTTTTTCCTCCTTGCCAGCACCTGTTCTTAATTGATTGATGTATATAAGCCATTCTAACCGGGGTGAGGTGACACCTCATTGTGGTTTTGATTTGCGTTTCCCTGATTGCTAGTGATCTTGAACATTTTTTCATGTGTCTGTTGGCCATTTGGATTTCCTCTTTTGAAAAATGTCTATTGAGGTCCTTGGCCCATCTCTTAAGTGGGTTGTTTGTTTTGTTAGTGTGGTGTTTCTTGATCTCTTTGTAGATTCTGGTTATTAAACCTTTATCAGTTGCATAGTTTGCAAATATTTTTTCCCATTCTGTCGGTTGCCTCTTCACTTTCCTGACTGTTTCTTTTGCAGTACAGAAACTTCTCAATTTGATGTAATCCCAATTGTTAATTTTGGCTTTGACTGCCTGTGCCTCCAGGGTCTTTTCCAGGAAGTCTTTGCTGGTGCCAATATCTTGCAGGGTTTCTCCAATGCTAATAATTTGATGGGGTTGGGTCATAGATTTAGATCTTTAATCCATGTTGAGTGGATTTTTGTGTAAGTTGTAAGGTAGGGGTCTTGCTTCATGCTTCTGCATGTGGAAATCCAGTTTTCCCAGAACCATTTGTTGAATAGAATGTATGATGCTAGTTTTGTTCCACGATTTTTTAAATTTATTTTTTTGAAAGAGTTGCGGGGGTTGGGAGGAGAGGAGAGAGAGATCTTCCATCTACTAGTTCACTCCCACAATGGGCCAGTCCGAAGCCAGACCCTCTTCTGGTTCTCCCACATGGGTCACAGGGGCCCAAGCACATGGGCAATCTTCTACTGCTTTCCCAGGCCATAGCAGAGAGCTGGATTGGAAGTGGAGCAGCCAGGACATGAACCGGCACCCATATGGATGCCGGCACTGCAAGGAGCAGCTTTACCGGCTATGCCACAGTGCCAGAAACCCATGATCTTTTATGAAAATTAAAGCATTGAGAGATGAAGCCATTTGCCCACAAAATGGCACCACATACAATCCATACACATCCAATCCTGGAGGGAAGATTATGCTGATTCCTAAATAGCATCAAACAAGCAGATTCCAGCTTCCAGATTTATAGTTCATTTCCACGTTCTATCCCTATAACAAGAAAATGCCCTGACTCACAACTTTCCGTACCCAAAGCTCGCTCAGTATCAGTCCTATTCACACTCTGTAGGCAGACAGCAAACCAAATGAGATGCAAATGCATCTTATTTCCAAGCTGAAGATTGGTGCCGATTAAATGGCAATCCCGTTGTCAGCACCTGGTAATAAGAACTCTCACACAAACAAATGCAATGTTCTCAGCTATACAAGCGTTTATAGACAAAATGAGACTCTAAAGAAAATACACAGGGCTAGCACTGTGGCATAACAGCCCACCCATGTGGGAGACTCAGAAAAAGCCCCTGGCTCCTGGCTTTGGATCAGCGCAGCTCTAGCTGTTGCAGCCAATTTGGGAAATGAACCAGCAGATGGAAGTTCTCTCTCTCTCTCTTTCTCTCTCTCTGCCTCTTGTTCTCTCTCTGTGTAACTCTGACTTTCAAATAAATAAATAAATCTTTAAAAATAAAAATACACAGTCTCCCTCACACCAAAAAAAGGATGTCAAATATTTTTCTATGGATTTTATTAGTATAGACTTCCATGAAATAGAATCCAAAACAGTTCCATGAACAACTTTTAACAGCTTATGTATGAAGCAGGGACCTCATATGATAACTATGAAATAAAGGAGGACACAATCAACATACTATTCAAGTGAACACAATTGGAAGATTCGCATTAAGAAAACCGCAGTTCCAACTACTACTCTAACACACTTGAGTTAAGGTCTGTCTTGTTTCTACAAACTGGCTGTCACAACAATTTGTCTTTGTAATTTGTATTAAACTAAGAAAACAGATTTGTAAATAGTTGATAGGCAAATGTCATACTAAAGCTTCTGGTTTCACCCTACCATTCTTGACAGGAACACACACACACACACAGACACACACACATTTTCAGTTGACTGATTCTCCAGGAGACAACTCAGTGATGAAAGCAAGTTTAACAACAGTGTCAGTGAATGTTCCAGACTTCTAGAATTAGATCTCCATTTGCTTTAAAATATTGTACTGAGACTTACTGGGAACATGAGTAAGAAAAGAATATTGTTGTTGAAGTTCTTGGACTAAATTTTTCTTAGTTTAAGGCCCGACTAATTGACATTGATCATTATCACTAAAGAGAAATGGTACTACAGATTAACGTGACCTCTTGTCTCAAAAAAAGAAGACAAAAGAAAATACAAAGACAAAAGAAGATACAAAAAACTATTATAAATAGATTATGCCTTAAAAAAGCAATAGTGAACAATTCCTGGATGTTTAATATATACCTGGTACAATTCAAAATGCTTCACGTATGGTAGCTTGTTAATTCTTACAGCATCTCCACAAAGTGAGCATTATTATCATATCCATTTTGTGAATGGAAAACTGAAGTACATGAAGGGGTGATTTTCCCAGGATCCCACATGAGCCGTGAAGTCCCGGTCCAGACCCAGGCCTCTGGCCCCAGAGGCTGTCCTTGTGATTGGCATGTTGTCCCTTCACTAAAACAAGACACTTGTGCACTCTGGACCTTGAAGAGACAGCCCATTAACTGCCTTCTCTGGGCATTTAGATTTGATAAGCATCTCTATTCAGCTATAATCTCTTCACTTTTGTTTTTCAGAAAAGAATAACGAGAAAATTAATTCAGTTGGTACATTGCATTAAGAGGTTTTTTAAAAAGCAATTTTACTAGGTAATGGATGTAAAATAATAAAAATGTTTATCAATTTGATTAATTTGATTACACATTAAAAGCAAGGGACTTTTAACCACAAATGCCCCTTTGTTGGGCTTTGGGTTTTTGTTTCCCTGCACTATCTGGCCTCTTCTCACCATGCTCCCTTCTTCTGCAGGCAAACCCTGTCCTCATGTACCTTGAGTCTCAGGGCCACCTCCCCCATTATAGTAGCCCTTCCACTGTCATTCATTTGACTGATTTCATTGAGGGTCAATATATTCATGATGGCCTTTACATCAGACAACAGTGGTCCTTCTTTCATTCAATAACCATCATGTTACCACTCCAAACAGTAACCCTTTCCCATGCACCAGGCACCACCTCAAGCACCATAGGGAATACAGAGATGAGATGGAGCCAGATCCTGCTTTCATGGGGCTTGTGGTATAGGCACACAGGTGACCTAAACATAAATCAGTTGAACACAGCACAGGAGGGGCTAAGTGCCACCACACAGAGGTCTCCTAAATAGGCCAGGAATGATTCAAGGGCAAGGGGAGACTAGGGAAGGCTCCACTGCAAACCTTGGTCCTTGAGAGCAGAGAAGAGTTGAAGTCCAGAAATAGGAACAAGGGGCCACTATAAGCATGCAGTGTACGTGTTGAATAGAGCTGGAGGCTGTGAGAATTAGAAACCAAGGGACTGTTGTGCTAAAAACTGCCTGAGAAGGACACTGACATGCTAGGCTAGCAGGAAGGGCTATCCTATGGTCAGGGCCAGCTTAAAAGGCTCTGGATAAGGGAGTGATGTGACCAGAAACACCAAGCTGTGTGTACAACAGGGAATGGAAGAGGCAACTGGAAAGGACACGATAGAGGCCTGGGCTGGATAGGGACTGCGTAATGGGTCTTCCTTGTCTCATCTGGCACCAGCGGCCAACACGGAAGTAGCTCAAAAAGTGATCTTAGGAAAAGCAGTACTCTTGAGTCACTGCACATGAGGTATACTGATCATTTTACCTCATTAGCCATTTCGAGTCCCCATTTGGACAGTGTGTGTGGTAGGGTTGAAAGGCAAGGGGACAGGAAAGGAAAAGTAATGTAGAGTCGTCCCCTCTTACCTGTGAGGGACGCATTCCAAGACCCACAGTGCATGCCTGAAATCACAGACAGTACCGCACCCTATATGTAGTGTTCTTTCCTATACTTACACCTCCATGATGAAGTGTACTTTAGAAATTAGGCACAGTAAGAGATGATAACTAAGAATGAAATAGAGCAGTGATAACAGTGCACTACAGTAAGGTTATGGGACTGTGGTCTGTGTCACACAGAATCTTACAGTACTGGACTCGTCCTTAGGAGGCTGTGAATGCTACGGGGCTACGTGATGAGATGAAGCAAGGCCCATTGCTTTCTGGCACAACATATTATCATCCAAACACATTTTCTGTGTGTCTCTAATCCACAAGTTTAATGCCTTTTCCATCTAAACTAAGCATGTACATTTTATGACTGTAATTTTTACATTTTGAAGTGTAGCTGTAAAATTAGCATAGATTTTTTTTTGCCATCTTCACAACTTCACAGTGGATTTGTTCTTGTGGTAAATCTTAGCAACTGCCACATAGGGGCTTTTATCTCTCTTTAAGTTGAGAACTTTCACCTTTTCTCTCAAAGGAGGCATTTGACACCATCTCTTCAGCATATGTAAACACCAGAATCATGGCTCTTGTGCTTTGGGGCCATTATTAAACTAAAGGGGCTACTTGACCAAACAACTGTGATAGCCAACAGTCAATCTGATAACCAAGATGATGACTAAGTGACTTGAGGGTGGGTAGAGTACTTAATGTGGACACGTTGGATACAAAAATGATTCGTGTCCTGGGTAGGGCACAGTGGGATTGTGAGAAATTTCGTAACACTACTCAAATGGTGCACGATTTAAAACTCAGGAGGGGCCGGCACCATGGCTCACTTTGTTAATCCTCCGCCTGCGTTGCCGGCATCCCATATGGGAGCCGGATTCTAGTCCCGGTTGCTCCTCTTCCAGTCCAGCTCTCAGCTGTGGCCCAGGAAGGCAGTGGAGGATGGCCCAAGTGCTTGGGCCCCTGCACCCACATGGGAGACCAGGAGGAAGCACCTGGCACCTGGCTTCGGATTGGCGCAGTGCTGGCCGTAGTGGCCATTTGGGGAGTAAACCAACGTAAGGAAGACCTTTCTCTTTGTCCCTCTCTCACTGTCTATAACTCTACCTGTCAAATAAATAAAAAAAAAAACTCAGGAATTGTTTATTTACAGAATTTAATATTTTTGGACTGTGGTTGACCACAAACAACTGAGATCATGGGGAATAAAACCATGGATGTGGGAACTTCTTCATCAAGCACTCCTGAGAAGCTCAAGCCCAGTAAAGTGACATTAAAATACACACAAAAAGATAACAGAGTCAGTTGAATTGCCAATTGTTCTTTCCACAAATAATTGCTTCAAAATAATTCATTGAGTAAATGAATTAATCAATTAAGTGAAACATTATAGGTATATTTAGAATCGCTTCCTTTTAGGCAGCCCTACATCTTATAACTGTGAGAAAATTATCCATGAAAGTACTGCATAGTAATTAGTTATCACCAAAAATGAAAAGTTTATATCTGTTAGGGTGTGTTTCATTACAAGTAATAGAATTGCTGAAGAACTATGTCTTAAACAAGCAGGTTTATTTGGCTTGTGTAAAATAAATGCAGACATGAATAAGCCAGGACTGTTCAATGACTAAATGGTATCATCAGGGATCCAATATCCTTATATTTTAGTGTTCTGCTGTCTTTAATTTTTCTCATGGTGACAAAATGGCTGTTGCTGCTGCAGTGATCAAATCCTTATTCCACATAGTAAAGAGGTGTTAGGGCAAAGGGCTAGCAAGCCACAGCTACTGTCCTTCAATAGGAAAGCAAAAAAGCTTTCCCATAAACCCCCTCATCCTCCCTCATTGAGTTGCACTTAGGACTTGTTGGTTGGAATGGAGACACCTGTTTCCCCTTCCTTCAAGGAAAGCTGCAAAATGGAGTGCATAGAGCCCCTGGCTTACAGTGACTCAGCCTGTGGTTTTTCAGCTTTACAGTGGGGTGAACACAGTATGCATTCTGTACAGTATGAAACTGTACTTTGAATTATGAATGTTGATCTTTTCCTGTATGATACTCTCGCATGTTGCTGGGCAGTGAGAGTGAGCCACAGCTCCCATCCACATGCTCACAAAGGCAAACAGTCAGTGCTCTCCAGTGCTCTGTGCTGCTAAGCTAAACTCTGATGTTTGCTCAGTTATGTGTGTTCAATGCAGTTTTGACTTAGGCATTTTCAGTTTATGATGCGTTTGTCAGGATGCAGCCCCATCGTAAGTCGAGGAGCATCTATATTCTAGCTTCCCAGTCTCTGATGTGGAAGGCAAAGGAGCAAAGAGCTAGAATAAGGAGAGTAACTCATCTACAAAAACACTACAAGGTGTTGGAGTTTTTTTAATGCACTTTTTCTGTTTAAAAAGATATGCTGAAATAGTAATTCCATCAAAAAAATGGGTAAGCTAGGGAGTGTGCTTAATAATAATAGTGGCTTTCCCAAAAGCATCCTTAATATGCAAAGCTCTTGGTTCACTTTATTCTCATATCTACTTCTCACAACAGTCTATTAAGGTTATTCAAGGAAATGGAGACTCAGAGAGACTCAAGAACAGGTTGTAAATCTCAGAGCCAATAAATAAGAGAACAGGGGCCTGAACTAAGTCTTATCTCACAGGGTTCTGTTTATAACAGAGGATGGAGCCAACACCTGTGTCCCAGTAGATTGTTAGCTCCCTGCCCAAAACATTCAGAAAAGATGTTGATAATGCCATCTGTCTTTTTTTTTAAGATTTATGCATTTATATGAAATGTAGAGTTATATAGAGAGAGATCTTCCATCCGCTGGTTCACTCCTCGGGTGGCTGCAATAGCCAGAGCTGGGCCAGGCCCAAACCAGGAGCCAGAAGCTTCAGCCAGGTCTCCCACACTGGTATAAGCATTTGGGCCCTATTCAGCTGCTTTCCCAGATGCATTAGCAAGGAGCTGGATCAGAAGTGGAGTAGCCAGGAATCAAACCGGTGCCTATATGGCACAGGAGGCAGCTTAAACCACTACACCACAACACTGGCACGAGTAATGCCATATTAATGTGACCAGCAAGATGTCGAATGGGAAGTAGTGATATCTTTTGAAAGGTAAAATGAGTATTTTGAAGGGAAAAGCAAGGGGGAAGTTTTTGTAAGACAAACAAGGAAGCAAAGGAAAATTTAACTGGAAACTGTTAGCATTTGACTTATTTTGGTGTATTCTGCTGGAAAATACCAAATTACATATCTATAAGCTGAATGGTGGCTTCTGATTTGTTAGCCATTAGTTTCATGTTTTTTAGTATAGGAATTTTTAAGAAGTGGCCCAGGTTACATTTTGCCTATGTTTGCAAATCAAACAAGATTAAGGTCACTTAAGAAGCTTGTCTTTATCTGCTCAGTGATTCTTCTTATTATTTGTTAAAGATTTATTTATTTATTTATTTGGAAGTCATGGTTACAGAGAGAGAGGGAGAGACAGTGAAAGAGATCTTCCATCCCCTGGTTCACTTGATTCACTCCCCAGGTGGTCACAATTGCCAGGGCTGGGCCAGACTGAAGCCAGGAGTACAGGAGCCCAAGTACCTGGGCCGCCTTCTGCTGCTTTCCAAGGCCCTTATAGAGAGCTGGATGGGAAGTGGAGCAGCAGGGACTTAAGCTGGTGCCCATATGGGATGCTGGTGTCACAGGTAGCGGCGTTACCTGCTACGCCACAGGGCTGGCCCCTAGTGATTCTTCAGACGTGATCTTCTGTTTAAATTTAGTTTACCATATCTAATTATTATTATCACAAAATGAGAAATCTAATTCTAGGAGAAGTGGGGAAGAATTCATATATGATAGCAATTGTTCTGCCAGGTGCTTTACAGATTTTTACCTTCTTCAGTCACTCACTATTCTAAAGTAGGTATTAAGATTATTTGCTGCCTTATATAACCACGTGTTTCTACTAAGGTTACCTCATTTCTGGTAAAAACAGTGTTGCTCTCCGTTCTCAGATAAATCCCAAACTATCAAACCTGACCTTTCCCCACCCACTCCATGTCCCCCTCTGGCACTCTTTCTTCCCCGTCTTTCCTGCTTTCACCGTCAGACCTAGCTGCTGCTGTCTTCTCTCCTCTGGGTCCCCATTTGTCATTTTGCCTCCCACTCAGCTAGCGTCTGGAAGGCTCTTACCCAGCCCCCTCCCCAAAGGCAGTGCCTCCACCCAGTCTAACCTGACCCAGCAAGTGGGGCACAGACAGATGTGTCCACACGTCCCCACTCTGAATGGGATGCGTAGAAAGGGAAGGGAAGGAGGTAAGGTTTCCTCAGTACATCAGACCATTAATATAATTGAACAGTGTACAAAGACTACAAGACAAAGTTGTACCTACTTTCTCCATGATAACTCCAGTGGGACTGGATGAACTCAAAACACTCTGGGAAGAGGTTACTGAGTGCTTTCAAAAAAGTAACCAGGTATCTGGCGTTTCTGAATGAAGAGTCCAGAGAGTCACTGCCATAACCAAGTTCACAATTGAAAATGAGAATCAGTAGAAAGAAAAGAAAGAATTGGTGCTGGCACTTTGACGTACTGGGTGAGGCCGTCGCCTGCGGCACTTGCATACCATATGGGCGCTGGTTCAAGTCCCAGCTGCTCCACTTCCAATCCAGCTCCCTGTTAGTGCACCTGGGAGAGCAGCAGAGGATGGCCCAGGTGTTTGGGCCCCTGCACCCATGTGGAAGGCCTGCAGGAAGCTCCTGGCTCCTGGCTTCAGACCGACCCAGCCCAGCTGGCAGTTGAGGCCATTTAGGGGGTAAGCCAACAGATGGAAGACCTGTCTCTCTGTCTCTCTCTCTCTCTCTCTCTCTCTACCTCTCTCTCTCTCTCGCCTGTCTCCCTCTTTCTGTAACTCTGCCTTTCAAATAAAATAAACAAATCTTTACAAAAAAAAAAAAAAACACAAAGAAAAGACAGACTCAAGAGTTCAACAGTTGGGAAAGAGTTGAGAAATAAACTTTAAGTTTACTTTAATCATTCTAATTTCTTGTTTAAGGAACCTAACCTAGCACAATATAAAATAATCTTGAGATTTCTAGCTAATCTGGAGTATTCAAAGATTAATGAAGATGTTGAGCTCCTATATAAAGCAGCAAACAATTCTGAATGTAAAAGGATGTCTACAGGAAGGAAGCTTGAATTGTATATATTGTAGTGAGAGGTGGACCATTCTTTTCTGTCAGCCTTTTTGGCAGGGATTGTGCAGTGAATGCAGTGGGAGCTTTAAAATATGTGTTGAATTAATGTACAAATTGATGGGTTGCATAAAATCATTCTAAAAAAATTGAGTGTAAACAAGAATGTGTTTAAATTCCATTCACTTGGAGTTTATAAGTAGCTTTTCAGTAATGTTTTAAACTTGGGTTTTTGAGAATTCACGGTTTCCCTTGCGGTCAGGTTTCTAGCCCATTGCCAATTCACAGGTTATTTGAAAGTGCCAGCAGTCGTGACAGATTTCTCAGAAAACACCACAGAGTGTTGCTTCAGACAGTTTCCACAATTGCTGTCAAATTCTAGGTCAGTGAAAAAATTTAAAATAATGGATTTTTTTCATTGAAAAAAAACTTCCTCCTTACCTAAAAATTTAATTTGAAAATGCTGAGCGTTGTGTATTGTGAGCTCTGAACTTCTGCTAAACATCTATCTCTTTACATTTAGTTGATAGTGTTTATTTTGAGTTTTTCTACTGAGACTTTGGAATTCACAACCAATTAATTAAGGCAGAAGTCCAAAAGGAAAACGTGATTCCATCAACTGAATGATTATAGCAGAAACTTCCAGCTAAACCTTGTCTGTCTCAGAAGATCTTGCAAAGCCTTAGGTGAAATTGTATTGTCTCTAGGAGTAGTGTTGACTGACTGCAGTTTAATTCTGATTGCTTGTTCAATTCATCAGTTCCATCTTAATATTAGCTAATTAGTTATCAACATTGCTTGGGTAAACAAGTCCCTAATGCTACTCTTCTACTCCACATTCTGTAAAATGACAGCCCCAACTTTAACTCTCCATTTACCACAAATTGCCTTCTAATACTTACAGTTGTTCAGAGATTGCATTCCCTTCAGCTGGGGAATGTGGCCCAGGTCCTGCCTTCTCTCCACCGTCCTCATCAACCCCACCACACTGCTTTGACCTGGGAGGGCTGTCATACTTGGGACAGCTTCTTCTGGAAGACAGATGCCCCACCTCCGTGCCCCCATAACACCTCCTTTTTTTTTTTATCCCATTCAGGCAGTTATGTCAAATAGTTATGCTATTTGACAATTCTCCCTATAATGCTGCCATCTTCTTTTTACAATTCTACAGTCTGTATAATTCTATGAGCCACAGTAGTCCCCCTGTATCCACAGGGTATATGTTCCAAGATCCCCAGTAGACAAATGATACCACAGGTAGTACTGAACTCTGTATTACTATGTTTTTCCTATACATGCATTCCTACATAAAGTTTAATTTATAAATTAGGCACAGTAAAAAAAAAAAAAAAAACTAACAAAACTGATAATAAGGGCCAGTGTTGTGGTGCAGTGAGTTAAGCCTCTGCTTGTAGCACCCACATCCCATATGAGTGCCAGTTCAAGTCCCAGCCGCCCCACTTCCACTCACATGGGAGACTGGATGAGCTCCTGGCTCCTGACTTTGGCCCTGCCCAACCCCTGTCAGTTATGACCATCTGGGGAGTCAAACTGTGGATGGAAGATCTCTTTCTTGTGTCTCTACCCCTCTTTGTCTAACTGCTTTTCAAATAAATCAATCAAGCTTTTTTAAAAAAATAACATAATAAAATATAATTAAACAAGTTATGTGGATGTGATCCCTTTCTTTTAAAATATGGAATTTTCCATCTAATATGTTCAGATCACAGGGCTAAAACTGCAGAAAGCAAAACTACACATAAGAGAAAACTACTGTATGGACTTTCTTCTTCATAATTCTGTTGTCATCTTCAATATTTTATTTCTAGCACCTAACTTGGGGCCCATAAGCTCACTTTCAATAATATATTTACCAAATTAATGGACCATATTAATATGTTGTCAATTATATTATGGCCCTCATTAAATGTGTGTATATGTTTGTGTACACTCGATATATATGAAGGAAGAAAGCAAAAAAAAAAAAAAAAAAGAAGTTTCACTTGTCAGTCTTGTTCTACATCTTCTCTGCAGTTGATCCTGACAAAGCAACACCTTTTAAGATTCCTACTCTTTACAATGCCGTATATATGCTTTATTTTCCTCTTAAAGCTTAGATCTCTTGGTTCAAAATTTGTCTTGAATTTCACATCAAATTTTCCATTTCTTTTGGTTCCATGCTTCTAAAAAGGTAAGTTAGAATTCTTTAAATGAATGCACATTTCAAAAATAATGTGCTACATTACTGAAACAAAAACTCTGGGAAGGAAATATTTTGACTGACTTATTCACCATTATTATTCCAAACTCCTAGAAGGCTTCTTGGCATGTGGTAGTTGCTCACTAAAAATGTGTTGGGTGAAGCATGGATTTAAACCTAGATTTGAAACACAAAGAGAGGAATCTAGGGGAAAAAACAAAATGGATGTCACTAGACAGGTGAACGCAGCACCATCTATCAAAAGAGAAAAACAGGGCCAGTAATTAAAACTCAGAGTCTGAGGCTAACAGGTCAGGGGCTCCTGATCCTGCACAAGGTACTAACTCTTAGGGCCTCAGTTCTACCGTCAGAAAACAGAATCCCAAAACACCTACCCACAGGTGGACCGTGAGCATTGAGTGCAATGGCATTAAAGCATTCAGCACTGTGCCACACGGAAAAAGCTCTCATCAGACCCAGCGATAGTTCTTGTCATTATGTGGGTGCTATAGCCCCCTGTCCTGGCCAGATAGATTATTAATGCTGAAGCAGTCATGTGCACTGTGTACTTTGTCATCCTTCCTCTTTCCTTATGTCAAATTTCTGACAAGAGGGAGATTCCTACTTTCCAGTGACATTTTCTAAGTCTCAGGAAGGTAGTTTCCGCCTCTCCTGTGAAGTGATGAGCTCAGTAAATTGGACACAGCTTAACAGTTGAAAGAAGCACCGCCAGACCTGTTCCATCTAATCGGAGCTCTTCAGCAGCTATTGTATAGGCTCTTGGTGTTGATTTTGCTCTCCTCTTTCTTCTTCTTCTTTTGCTTTCACTGTCTTGATTGATTTTTTTCCCTTTCTCCTTCTCTGAGGATGATTTCAGTAGACACCAGCAACACAAGGTAGCATCACTCATGCGTGTGTCATTCAAAATCCTGCGTGATTTCCAATATATTCCAAGAAACCCCATGCTGGGGAAATGCTGCCATGAACTCGATGATATATATGACATTAAGCAACATGCAGTGTGGTGTGGTGAGCCAAGGGCTGACTTTGAAGTCACAAAGACCCATGCTTGAACCAAGCAAGTTTCTTAACCTCTCTGTAAGCGGCAGTATCCTCATCTGTAAAATGACTGGCAAGATTAAGTAAGGATTAGAGAAAGTAAGAATAAAACATTCATTTTGCATGGATGGCTAAGCAAATATCTGCAGTTATTAGTGTAACTGTGCCCCCAAAATAATTACAAATGAAGTGGATCAAAATATGCACTAAATAATAATTTTTAAAAAGTTTACATTTGTTGAGCCCTTCACGGTACCACACAGCATCATATAAATGTGAGCCTGGTGACAATTCTCTTCTATCACCTGTTCAATCATGTCGTAAAGTATATCCATTCCAAGTGATGGGTTTCGTGACACACCTGAAATCCTGTTCTGAAAGCTACTCATTTTTCAAAGTGACTAAATCAAGAGACAACACCAACAGCTACTTATTTTAATGGAGATATTTTTCAGGAGAAATGTCAACCACAAATCTGTCGTGGCAGATGCATGCCGTGTTATTTTCTATCATTTTGCTGCTCAACTTTGGCAAGCGAGTGCTGCCTGAAGGATGAGCAGCTTTCGAGTTTCTACCAAGAGGAGGAGAAATGGAGTCTGTTTACTTCTGTTTTAAATTATTTTTATGTAAGTCTCATGCTTCCTTTTTAGAGCAGGTAATACTTGTGGAGGTGGGGAGTGTGTGGCAGAGGGGTGACTGTGCCAGTGCACCCGTGTCTGGGTGGGTGTTGGGAGTGAGGAATGCAGAGGAGTATGGGGTGAAAGCAAAAATCATCCAGAAATAACCGCTGTTAACATTTGAGTCTTTTTCCATGCAGTGTTTTTCTATTATATTTTGACAATATGATGATTGAAATCATATTGTACTGTGCTTTTAAAATTGGTCAGATTTAAAATTATGTCACGAGCATGTTTACAAGACACACAGCTGGGCATTTTATTTACCCTCTAGAAGCCTCTATAGTAATGCTCCAGTGTTTGCACTTCACAGAATTGGCATGGGGTTCAGATAAGAGAAATGTGAGAGACTTTTATGAGTCATATATAGAGCTCATAAATGAAATTATGTATTTTGATCCCCAAACCTTGGAGAGTCAAAAGGCCTGTATTTTTAAGCATTCCCACAGCCCTCTCAGATCACTCTGGGATCCAAAAAAGACTGAACATTTCCTAACCCCAGAAAATTCACATCCTGAGTCTGAGCCCAGAAGTGAAGGTGAATTGTGACAACATTAGAGGAAAGGATAGGGTTAAGCTCCCTTTTTAACTACAACTAAAACTTTGCCTTCGTTATTTAAAGAGTTCTCAGATCTTGAATTCCTTCTATCCTTGGCTCTTTCCATTTTAAAATGAGTCATGCTTCAGAGAATTACATATTTTTCTTACCTCAGACACAATTATAGTTTTATCTACAATAATGTGATTTGCTAGTTGAATAGTAAATTTTCTATTTTCTCAAAAAAAGGAGGAAAGGAAAAGCTTATTTTTATGAACTCGATTTCATTTAC